ATTTTAGAGCTCCACTTATATTTTTCTATATACCATAGTAGGTAAATGTCTGGGGGTTGTTTTTCTCTGCACCAGGATTGTAAAATTCAGTTGTATTTGTTATTATAGCGACGGAGCTCATCCACCATGCATCCATCTGGTTCAAACGTTAGGCACCGCCCCAACTTGGGGTATTTTTCATGCAACCATTTTACAACCAATCTATGCCAAATTTAACAAAAAATAATAATTGGTGATTTTTTTGACACACATAGCAATTCAAGAATACATGTACGGAGAACTTTAAGGGTTACTGCCAAAGAACACCCCAATATGTGTTCAGCAACATCTCCTGAGTACAGTGATACCCTCCAGGTATATATGTTGGGTTCTCTGGGGGCTAAAATACCTTATTTGGAGGGTGTACATTCTAGTTTTCCAACTTGGAATTTTCACAGCTGGTCATCATGCACCCATGTCCTATTTGGGACGTTTTTGAAGCCGGGCAATGTAATTTACCCCCATCATGCCATATATTTTTGAAAAGAAGACACCCTAGGGTATTTCAAATGGTGGTATTTTAACACTTTCCATGCACTAATTCTACCACAAGTCTTTGTCAAACATTTGGGTAGTCATTTTTTTGTGTTATTTTTCTCTCACATAGTACTTTAGGCACAGATTCTCAGTTCCTGTTATGTATTACTGACAAAAAACACCCCAATATGTGTTCAGCAACATCTCTCGAGTCCAGTACCCCAAAATACAGGTTTTATGGGTTTTGGCAAACTTACATGGTTCAAATGTAGGGCTTTCCCCTTTACCAAGTTTGCACATTGAAATTTGACAGATTGGTTTGCTGGGCCAATGATGCATTCGAGGCCATATAGCAGCCCAGGAATGAAAATTACCCCATCATGGCATACAATTTGTAAAAATAGACAACCCACGGTATTCCAAATGGGATATGTCCAGTCTTTTTTAGTAGCCATTAGCCTTTATATCAGCTAGCTGTCTAGGTGTTCTCTTTGACTCCGACCTCTCCTTCAAGCCTCATGTTCAATCTATCGCCAAATCCTGTCATTTACATCTCAAAATCATTGTGCGCATCCGCCCCTACTTAACGCCAGATGCGACTAAGGTGTTGGTCCATTCCACTGTCCTTTCTCGCCTTGACTACTGTAATCCGCTTCTCAGTGGTCTTACGTGCTCACAACTTGCGCCGTTACAGTCCATAATGAATGCGGCAGCGAGGCTCATCTTCCTGTCCGCCCGCACCTCCCATGTCTCACCCTTCTGTCAGTCCCTACATTGGCTTCCTATAAAATATAGAGCTCAATTTAAAATTCTGGTTCTTGCTTTCAAATCTCTACATAATGCTGCTCCCACCTATCTATCCGTCTAGGCCCTTACGATCTGCTGTATGTTCCGTCTAGGCCCTAACGATCTGCTGAAGACTTACTTCTATCTTCTGTCCTTACTCCCACCTCTGATGCTCGCCTTCAAGATTTCTCGAGGGCTGCACCGTTCCTGTGGAACTCGCTTCCCTCCTCCGTTGGATGCTCACCCAGTCTCCACTCCTTCAAAAAATCATTAAAAACCCACTTCTTCATAAAAGCGTATCAATTAAACTGTTAATAGCTCCTGACTGATTCCTCTTCTGCAACTGTCACTAGTCTAATACTATCCTTAACTTTTTGTGTCACTATACCCAACTCCCTCTAGCATGTAAACTCACTGAGCAGGGCCCTCAATCCCTCTGTTACTGTATCAATATACCCCACTCCATCTAACATGTAAACTCACTGAGCAGGCTCTCAATCCCTCTGTTACTGTGTCACTATACCCCACTCCCTCTAACATGTAAACTCACTGAGCAGGCCCTCAATCCCTCTGTTACTGTGTCACTAAACCCCACTCCCTCTAACATGTAAACTCACTGAGCAGGCCCTCAATCCCTCTGTTACTGTCACTATACCCCACTCCCTCTGACATGTAAACTCACTGAGCAGGCCCTCAATCCCTCTGTTACTGTGTCACTATACCCCACTCCCTCTAGCATGTAAACTCACTGAGCAGGACCCTCAATCCCTCTGTTACTGTGTCACTATACCCCACTCCCTCTAACATGTAAACTCACTGAGCAGACCCTCAATCCCTCTGTTACTGTGTCACTATACCCCACTCCCTCTAACATGTAAACTCACTGAGCAGACCCTCAATCCCTCTGCTACTGTGTCACTATACCCCACTCCCTCTAACATGTAAACTCACTGAGCAGGCCCTCAATCCCTCTGTTACTGTGTCACTATACCCCACTCCCTCTAACATGTAAACTCACTGGGCAGGGCCCTCAATCCCTCTGTTACTGTCACTATACCCCACTCCCTCTAACATGTAAACTCACTGAGCAGGGCCTCAATCCCTCTGTTACTGTGTCACTATACACCACTCCCTCTAACATGTAAACTCACTGAGCCGGGCCCTCAATCCCTCTGTTACTGTGTCACTATACCCCACTCCCTCTAACATGTAAACTCACTGAGCAGGGCCCTCAATCCCTCTGTTACTGTGTCACTATACCCCACTCCCTCTAACATGTAAACTCACTGAGCAGGGCCCTCAATCCCTCTGTTACTGTGTCACTATACCCACTCCCTCTAACATGTAAACTCACTGAGCAGGGCCTCAATCCCTCTGTTACTGTGTCACTATACCCCACTCCCTCTAACATGTAAACTCACTGAGCAGGCCCTCAATCCCTCTGTTACTGTGTCACTATACCCCACTCCCTCTAACATGTAAACTCAATGAGCAGGCCCTCAATCCCTCTGTTACTGTGTCACTATACCCCACTCCCTCTAGCATGTAAACTCAATGAGCAGGCCCTCAATCCCTCTGTTACTGTGTCACTATACCCCACTCCCTCTAACATGTAAACTCACTGAGCAGGGCCCTCAATCACTCTGTTACTGTGTCATTATACCCCACTCGCCGTAGCATGTAAACTCATTGAGCAGGGCCCTCAACCCCTCTGTTACTGTGTCACTATACCCCACTCCCTCTAACATGTAAGCTCACTGAGCAGGCCCTCAATCCCTCTGTTACTGTGTCACTATACCCCACTCCCTCTAACATGTAAACTCACTGAGCAGGGCCCTCAATCACTCTGTTACTGTGTCATTATACCCCACTCGCCGTAGCATGTAAACTCATTGAGCAGGGCCCTCAACCCCTCTGTTCCTGTGTGTCCAACCTGTCTGGTTACAACTACATGTCTGTTTGTCCACCCATTGTAAAGCGCTGCGGAATTTGTGGCGCTATATAAATAACATAATAATAATAATATTAGTTTTTTTTGTATTTTTCACACATAAACTGCCATTTCACCGATGATATTATCAGTATAATGTATTTTACTGCTCTAAAACGCTCATATTTGTGTAGAGTAATGCCTCACAAGTACAACAGTACCCCTCAAGTACAGGATTTATGGTGATTTGGAAAGTTACAGGGTCAAACATAAGATTTGCCAATTTCTGTTTTTGTAAATTGCTATTTGCCAGTTTGGCTATGTTGCCTTTGAAACGGTATGGCAACCATACAAAAAGTAGACAACCCAGGGTATTCAAAATGGGGTATGTTTTGTAGTAGCTACTTAGCCAAAGTTAGCGTTCATATTTGTTTTTTGCATTTTTTTACACAAAAACTGCACTTTTACTGGTGATTTCATTGTCGTGATACGTTTTACGTGTATATATCTCAAAGTACACTTATAATTAAATCATATATATATGCATTATATATGTATACTATATTATAAAATGTTTTAATTATTTTATAATATATTATACATATATATGTATCATATATTTATTTTATTTTACTTTTTAGCAGCTTTGTCTGACAGCTCAGACAGTCCCCCTGCTGGCAGCTCCATAGACTGCTATTGCGGCTATCTAATCATGGTGATCACATGGCCCTGGAGGGCCGCAGTGGACGAAGCTGCTGCAGGGGGACAGTCTCCCAGACCCAGATCGCCACAGATCGCTGGTCCAGGTAAGTCCAGGGATCCAATTTTCCGCGGACATACCCAGTAAGCCGTTAACGGCATTTCTTTGTTGGACATACCTAGTACGTCCGATCTCAGGAAGGGGTTAAAGCTCATCAAGGTTTAATTTAAAAAAAATAAACTAAAAGTACACATTTTATTGTTTTTTTTTTTAAAAGGATGTGAATAATGTTTTTTTTTCTAAGAATTATATTATTTTTTTTAACTTAAAAAATGCTGCCACTTAAGATTGTTCTTAAATTTGCAATCAAACTGATGATTTGCAAATTCTATGAGCTATTATTCTTTCTAACAGAAATCCTACCCAGACATTAATGGTTTTATGCCCAATTATTCGCAAACTAGCGGCACTGTTGCTCAAATATCTAGACCTTCGGTGGGTCCACACGGGATTCCTGCTACGTAGTTTTAGCTTGTTTGCGCCATTAAAGAGAGAATCTAAATCATAACATACTTTCTAGCATTGGAAAGTATGGAATCGGGATTGGTGGGTTGGCCTTTGGAGGCATCACCATTGACACAACTTGCATCTATGATGACACCCATAATGGGTAAGCCAATCCATTGAAGTGGTATGGCAGCCTGGAAACAGTTAAGCTGACAGGCAGCCTCTTGACTAGCACCCCAAACTACAGGACCATGGGTGCATGGGTGCACTGCTCAAGCATTACCTGCAATTTCCTAGTGTAATGATGCACTCATGGTGTGCTGCCGAGGACAGTTCTCTGGTGTCCAAGAAGGTTGGAATACTCAGAGTACTAAATCAGGATGGTGGGACAGGACCTTAAAATAGAACTGTCTCTCCAAAAGCAGAAAGGTTGGGAGGCCTGGAATAATACATTAGTGGCAAACCCACTAATCTAATTAATTCTGATTACATGACTATTCCTTTGCAGTCATCTTATCTGTTTGTCCTCCTGTTGCTCCCTCCCCAGCATTGCATTTTTACCTTCGTAGAGGTATCCACATTCTCCAGTTCTGGTGTAAAGGTACTGTGACTGAAACCTGTTACAGAAACAAAGGACGTTAAAATACAGTTTATAGAATAGATAAAGTACCTTCTATAAGGTTTGATATGCAACCTCACCTTCATTTCCAGGTACAGTGTCATATCTCCTGAAATTTGGCTCTGCCGTTGTCCACTCGGATTCTAAATTGTCTGGATTCAGAAGGTTAGATTTTTTATTCCTGTGAGGAAGCAAAATAGTAATTAAAAATGGATGTAAATAAACTTTGTTTATGCCTTGTGTTTGCCTGCATGTTGAAATCTGTTATGTGAAACAGCATTGTTTATGTGTTCAAGGCAATTTCTGGCGAATAATTGCAAACTAATGAATCACCCTAGTTTCACGGGAGAAAAATGACTTAAAGGAACACTATAGTCACCTAAATTACTTTAGCTAAATAAATCAGTTTTAGTATATAGATCATTCCCCTGCAATTTCACTGCTCAATTCACTGCCATTTAGGAGTTAAATCACTTTGTTTCTGTTTATGCAGCCCTAGCCACACCTCCCCTGGCTATGATTGACAGAGCCTGCATGAAAAAAAAAAACTGGTTTCAATTTCAAACAGATGTAATTTACCTTAAATAATTGTATCTCAATCTCTAAATTGAACTTTAATCACATACAGGAGGCTCTTGCAGGGTCTAGCAAGCTATTAACATAGCAGGGGATAAGAACATCTTAATTAAACAGAACTTGCAATAACTTTACAGGAAGTGTTTATGGAAGGCTGTGCAAGTCACATGCAGGGAGGTGTGACTAGGGTTCATAAACAAAGGGATTTAACTCCTAAATGGCAGAGGATTGAGCAGTGAGGCTGCAGGGGCATGTTCTATACATCAAAACTGCTTCTTAAGCTAAAGTTGTTCAGGTAACTATAGTGTCCCTTTAAAGCAAGCTGAAATCCTTTGGTTATGTCTTGCAGATGGGCCTGGAGCAATGAAATTGATGAAACATCACTGTTTTCAGTCATTGATTAAAAAAAATGATATAGATTCTTTTCCACACGTAACATCAGACACAGCTCAGTTCAATATGGACATGGAGAATAAAGATTTGATATTTTAAAGAGAATTGATGGTTCTTTACAATAACGGCTTAGTGGGTGGACAATATTAGCTTACATTGATGGTAACCAAGGTTTTCCTTTCCGTCTGCGATACATAATGACCACAATGACTATTACTATGATTAAGACAATGAGTGTGGCTGTAACTCCTCCAATTACTCCAGGTCTGCTAATCCTGGTGTCACAGCTCTTCCCTGAGTACCAGAAGTCATTGGTGTTCGGACATCTGTGGGTGGAAACAAAGAACAAGTACAGTGTTTCAACAATATATGGATTTTAAAAATCAATCAATCTAAATTATGGATCTAAAATCTGAGTGCTGGCCATTAAAAAAGGATCCCTCCATGTGTGTCAGAAAACATTGTGAAGATATAAGATAATCATGAGATCTTCTAGTTAAAGTAACACTGTAGGCACCCAAATGACTTCAGCTCAGTGAATTTGTCTGGGTACCATGTGGACCCATTTTACCCTGTTGCTGAAAACATTGCAGAATTGCATGAAAACAGCTGAGTAAAATACTGCTATTTTAGTCAGGTGGTCTTAGGAGTCCCTCTAATTGGCTCAGTGTGGCATGTCGCTTTTTATTGCTTTACTTTGGGGCAATGCATTGGATTGACTGAGATCATCAAGATGGATGATCTTAGCAAAGAGGTGGAGCTTGAGGGCTGAATGGTAAATAAATCACCTTATTTAATTCTGGCATCGCTGGCCCAGTCACCCGAATGGTGTCTTCAGGCCTATAGAATTAGGAAAGCTATTTGCATTCCTAATTCTATATTGTTCCTTTAAAATCTCAAACAGGAGACATTACTAAGTGAGCAGCCAATGTAATTTTATAATGTGTATGCATAAATACTACCGTACAATGATGGTTGTAGGTAGGTTCACAAACTTGTTTTGCTAATGCTATCGTGTCCTAATGCAAAATTAGTTTTAGCCCCCACCTCTGCTTGTTTGCCGTAGAAAGCTTTTTACTTACCTTTTCTCCATCGCAGATATTCTCTATATTCCTCGTCCAACGTCATATTCATAGAGGAGCATTGGGGGGGGAGTTGTGCATACATGGGTGAGCCAGTCATAGGACATAATTGACTTCAATGCTTTCCTATGAGCTTCAATTGATGGCATTCACATGACATGACCGGATTTTACTCAGTAGTTATGGCAGAAGCTCCTCTAGTGGCTGTCCGTTGGAGGTGTTTAAGCCTTCAAGATAAACATTGCCATTTACACCAATCTGCGCTATTTTACATTGCAGGGTTACATTGCAGGGTTAGAAGGACAGAGCCACTGCCGTCAGACCACTTCACGGAGATGAATTGGGTCGCGCGACTTTAATGCAACTTCAAAAATGGTGGAAATTTGCTCAATAAAACTTGGTGATTGAAGGAAGATAAACTCAGTGTTAACATGCCATCTGCATGTGCATATAATAATTCTGTCATAAGTTCTTTGGACAGAATTGAAGCATCATTAATTCCATGTGGGGAAGTTGTTGGTGATAAGAATTTTGTATAGTGATGCTGTTCAGGAATACATAGAAAATCAAACATATGTAAATAAATATATATTTCCATCTGTTAACGCATCCTATACATTAAAGGATCACTATGGGGTCGGGAACATAAACATGTATTCCTGACCCTATAGTGTTAACACCACCATCTAGCCCGCTTTGGGCCCCTCATGTCTCCATAAATATAGTAAAATCTTACTGTTTTCAAGCCTGACGCTGTAGATCTGCATGCTGTTTGTCTCAAAAAACAAACAAACAGTCTTCTGACATTATCAGAAGTGGTGGCCTGATCCAATCACAATGCTTCCCCATAGGATTGGCTGAGACTGACAAGGAAGCAGATCAGGGGCAGAGCCAGCATGATTCAAACACAGCCCTGGCCAATTAACATCTTCTCATAGAGATGAATTGAATCAATGTATCTCTATGAGGAAAGTTCAGTGTCTGCATGCAGAGGGAGGAGATCCTGAATGTTTGGATGCATTTTAGGCAGCCATGACCCAGGAAGGATCTCTAGCAGCCATCTGAGGAGTGGCCAGTGAAGTTATCACTAGGCTGTAATGTAAACACTGCAGTTTCTCTGAAAAGACAGTGTTTACAGCAAAAAGCCGGATGGTAATGATTCTACTCACCAGAACTAATTCAATAAGCTGTAGTTATTCTGGTGACTATAGCGTCCCTTTAATATTGGGGTAATATGTTTTAGAGATAATTCACTTTCCTTTATTTTGCAATATTTCTGGCGGGGTCTTGGCCTATTTCCAAAGGAGCAGAAATATAATTTCCATAACATCCAGACCTTATTACAAAGAATGATAAATTAAAAATGGTCATATAACATTCATTTAGTTATTTTTAAAGTAACTAAGTTTGTGAATGCAGCTTTCTAAATTGAAGGGGAACCTGGTACAGATTCCCCATGCCCCCACGCATGAGTATCAGATGGACTCTATTAAATAAACCATGGGGGAGCATGTTTCACACCAAGCTTCCACCCATGAGCAGTGGGTAGGAACTATAATATGGTGCCCCCCCCTTGCCTCCAAGCCCCCACGATGGTGGCTATTGATGACATTAAAGACTAAACATAGTGTACTTCTCAAACCCACATATAGATGGTGGTTGTAGGTTATAGTTAAATAAACAGGCTGGACATCCAAATGCTTCCCATCACTCACCCATGGATGGTGGGTGGGAGTTAGGTTAACATTTTTGAGGGGCTGGACATATTGTATACCCCCTTATGAAGGGGATGAACATGCTACTGTCCACTGCCCTACCCCCTCACCCATTGGCTTCAGGTGGGGTCTTTAATGACAATAGGGAGTGGATTTATCATTGTCCACCTCCTCAAAAGTGAAGGCTGCTCTAAATTACTCCAGGTGACTAGAGATTGCCAAGCCTGTAGCCACCCTACAATTTCAAAAATCCTGCCAGCGCACCCTAATAATAGTCAGGGGCCAATTTAACAGAATACCTGCAAATATATACCTGCATATATGTTTGGATTCGCTCAGCACTCTTCTGCTTAATACAAAAAACCTTTTTTTATGCCTGGTGCTTACCCGTATTTGAATTATAAATAAAGTTAGAGTGCACTCACAGAACTTCCAAATGAATTAATGGTTTATTTAAAAAAAGTGAAAAATGTTCATCCACATCAAATCAACGTTTCGACCCTCAAAGGGTCTTTCTCAAGATAACAGAATGTAACAGTGAGTGCTAATAAATCGAAAAATTCAATTGACACTTACCAATTGAGTGTAGTGACCGCCGGTGAACTGATTGGAACCTGAAAGTGTCGGAAGGCCGCGAGTGACATCATCACGTAGTGACGCTCGCAGAAAGAAACGTGGATGCTAAGAAACCAAACAAGCCAGTTGTAAATTAACAAGACGTGTTGGCACGGTGCTGCTGTTCCATAAAAGCAAGCATGGCGGAACAGAAGACATTCACTGTGTAGGACTAAAGAGAAGTCAGGCATAGTGTGTGAACCAAACAAGTGTGAAGAGAGTGATATAAACAAATGCAAGCAGTGACAAGTGCTGCGGTGAAAAGTGTAAGGAATCTATGCCATATCAGTCAGATAAGTATATAAGCATAAATGTGTACGTCTAGACCTGTTCAAACATAGCATTCTATCAAAATCAAGGATACATAGTAAACGTAATTCACAACTGGCTTGTTTGGTTTCTTAGCAACCACGTTTGTTTCCATGAGCGTCACTACGTGATGATGTCACTCGCGGTCTTCCAACACTTTCAGGTTCCAATCAGTTCACCGGCGGTCACTACACTCGATTGGTAAGTATAAATTGAATTTTTCTATTTATTAGCACTCACTGTTACATTCTGTTATCTTGAGAAAGACCCATTGAGGGTCGAAACATCGATTTAATGCAGATGTAAATTTTTCATTTTTTTAAAATAAACCACTAATTGATTTGGAAGTCCTGTGAGTGCACCCGTACTTTATTTATTTATATATATTACCATCAGTGGTCGTCTTACTTCTTTCTTTTTTACAGCCCCACAAAAGGCCAAATAATAGTCCATTAATTACTAAATCTAAAAAAGAAAACATTGCAACATCT